CACACGCCCCTTCTCACTACGGCCACACAGCCGCGTACTAGTACAGCCGAGCCCATCCGGCGAAAATCCTGGATGGGGATGCGCCCTGGAGAACGGGGGGGTGGGACTGCGACGGTGGGACTGCCACCTCCTCTTACCCCTAGCAAAGCAAAGCAAAGAGAGTCGTATGTGAGTCATTTCGGCGACACTGGAAGGGGGACATAATGGTGCCCTGCATGTTTTCCAAGCCTGAGTTGTCGCATGATGTCGCATGTCTGAAGCACAAACCTGGCTGTGTGGCATATTCTGGTTTAGCCGCCGGTTCGGTAACTGGTCGGGGGACCTGAGTTGGCTTTGGTACGTGGGACGGCACGACTCCTGGTGTCACCGCAACACCCCCGAAAAACACTATGAAACCGTGAGGGGCTAGTGGCCGGGGGGTCTGACCCGCCCCTTACGCCCGAAGGAAGAAGAGAAAGAGAGGCGAGAGACCTGGAATGCCAGGACGCTGAGGGAGGCGAGCGTGGCACCGCGCAAGACAGGCGTGCTGAGGTGGAGCACATTCCAACTCCAGCACGCGTGGCAACTCCACGGCCACGATGGCACGGGCAGAACCAGGAGAGCGATCCATGCTCACCTGGAAGAACTGGCAATGGTGGGAGAGAGAGAAGCTCAAACCCAGGTGAGAGAGAGACACACGCAGGCCAGTACAACGCGCTGGTGGGCCCGCACAGACAGCTCGCCAAGGTGGCTGGCACAGGGTGGGTGGAGGTGGCGCAGGACTTTCAAGTCTGGAGCAACCTGGGCGGGAGTTTGTGGCAAGGTTTGACGTGCCTTGGAGCTGGAGGAAACAAAGGCCATTTACAGAACCTCACACCAAACACAACCATGGGGGGCAGGAGACATACAACAACGAACGAAGTAGGAATGCTGACAGCATGACGTATTCCACAACACCCACATGCATGCACGCATATCGTTTCAGTTGCAGTTTTTTGTTGCCGTTTGCAGCACTGTACAAGGGATCAGCTCTGTCGCAGTCGAACTTGGCCGCGACCTGTACGCGATGGGGGCAGGCAGTGTCGATGTTGCTTGAAGAGGCGGCCTCTTTGACGAAACCATGCTCACCCACTAGGTCCACCCGGCGAATGTCTTCGCGCTTGCAGAGGGGGCACTGGAGAAACCCACGCCACGCCCGGGGCACTTGGACAAATCACACAAGTCATGCGAGGCATACGGGCCATGCTGCCGATTCTGAGCGGGGGCACGGAGCAGGTGCAGCTACTGTTGGCAGCAATCGTGGCGTGGCAACAAACTCGAACCGCAGGGCAACCCTACGAAGTGGACACCCGGACGACAGAAGGGGGCGATTCGGGACCTTCGCTGTTTGGAGCCCCATCTCTGCAAGCAGAGCAAAGCTGGGTGCCGCCACCGGGGCTGCTGCATGGTCGGGGAGCATTCCCAGCTCCACTGACGAACCGTCCAACGCTGCGCCAACACCGCCGGAACATTGGGGACCAACGGATGAAGAGTTGCTTGCGACGATGGACGAGTTCGAGCGACAAGAAGCTGAAGACCTCGCTGCGGCTGCACAAGCAGAAGAAAAAGGAGAGCCGTAGGAGGCGCTCACATGTCATGCGGCCTTCTAGCTGGCAATACGCGCCACTAAAGGCCGGCGCCTTGGCCTTATACTGGGGGGCAGTTTGATGATGTGACCTAGCCTTTGCTACCTGACTGCAGAACCTCAGCTGGGGGACCAACCGGGCAGCAGCCAAAAAGTAGTCGAACAAGTAGGGGGACGGGTGCACTCTGTCGTAAGCTCAGTGTGTTGCAGGGGTTGCAATTGTGGTTTTGGTTCGGGGTCGCTTTGCATGTCATGTCCAGTTGTGCCGGCCGGGAGTTTACTGCTTTTCTTGAGTGCCCGAGCTGCGCCGAGGGGGAAACGTAGCAAGCCTGTAGCTTACTTTGGAGTCGCACTGCATGCTGTTGCTACCGTCCTCGCTATGTGGCCCAAACAATACGGTGCCAGTACGAAAGCACGACAGTTGACCCCCAAAACGGGGGAAGCAGCGATGTGGCGCGAGGTCAGGCTTTTGTTAAATAGTGCTGCAAGAACAGGGGGTCAGCACAGTTTCACCGACCGAGCTTCATCGCAAAGCAAGTGCCACACGAACTCGGACAACCAAGGCGCATGTGTGCGCGCGCGCGTGCGGGTGAAAAATAGGCGAGAGGGAGAGACACAAGAAGAACGTTCATCAAAGCATGGGTGGGGTATTCGGCCCATGGAATTTAAGATGTTTTCCTTGCCCGGGGGATAATGACAAAGAAAGAGTGTGTTTTCGGATCACGAACATCCCCCAAGCCCAGCACAAGAAGGGAGAGGACGCGACGAGGTTTAGCCAGGAGCATCGGGGGACAACATACACATGAAAGTTTTGACTTTCACCATGCTTCGCATATCGTCGTCTGCGATACACGAAAGCTTTGTGGAGCTTGCGGGGAGCTGTCGTTCACCAAGTCTAAGTATTGCCGTAGTGAGCCAGGTCAAAATCGCGGTTTAGCAATATTTAGACTTAACCATTTCCCCGGCACCATGCAAGATTTGGAAGCACAAAGGAGGGCTCCCTGCCCCCGACCACACATTCTACAAAGTAGAGGGGAGCCGGCCCCTTTACCTGCCCGCTTGTCCAGCATGTTTAGACTGCTCTTGCGCAGTGCACGCGCGATGTCTCGACGCTGCAAGATCCGCATTAGTTGCGAGACGCAGCTGATGTTGTGATTGTCGTGTCGCGCATCTAGTGTTGTGTGGGGTGTATTGACTTTTTCGGGCCTATGCATGCCAAACAGCTGGCTGCTTCTTGTGCAGGCGAAACTCACAAGAACTGTCAGCATTTAGCAAAGACGGTGCGTTGCTTCGACGCTTTTAGGCACGTCACTGACAACATATCCGTGACCCACTTGGTGGCAAAAAGCTGGTTGGCATCTGCCGGCCCGAAAATGCCAGTACACGCAGGAAAGTTTTCAGCTGCACACATTTTAGGTAAACCTCAGCCACGCTCGGGTGGTTCGCGACTCTGTGCTGCAACAGGCTCGCTTGACGCGTCGCCGCACCCTGTCCCTGCTACGCTTCTCCCAGCTTTCGTGGCCCTCTTCTCAAGTCTGGGCGCCCGACTCCAAACCTGTTCGAGCTTAGCTATCCGTGCGTGGTTCGCAACTTGCGCTGGCTTCTGAAGTGACACCGTGCATGCAGGATTAGTGGTTTGAAGCTGTAGCATTCTGCGGCAACTCGCTTTAGTGGCTTCGTCCCGTTTCCACTAATTCTCAGCACTCTGAAGTCGAACCGTTCAGAAGGCTACACTACGATTGTCAACAACTGACTTTAAAACTCCCGCTGATATGAAATTTTAGCCAAGAGGACCATGACGAAAACGAAGAAAGACACAGTGCAATCAATTTTTGCAGCATTCGTCGAATCTTGCGAGAAGGACCGAAGTATGTTTGAGGGTTATTTATGAAATGCGCGCTGACGCATGAGGTCCCTTCGCATCTGTGCGGCATGGAGGGTTCAGCAGCTGTGACGCAGTGGGTCTTCATCCATCTGCAGCGCATCTTGCAGACCCATCAGGTCGGCGCAGCCGTAGAGCCTTTATAGCTTGAATCGCAAGTGCCACAACGCTGTCACCAGCTGTGCAGGACAAAGAAAGGGCATCGCAGCTCAGGGGCAGTGGCCCTGCAAACTTCTCGCAGGCCTCACGCTCGAAGTCCTTTCTCAATGTCAGAGGTGTGATGTTGCATTTTTGCCGGTTTGTGCAGAGCTTGCAAAAACATCAGCTGGGTTGCTTCCTTGGAACTGTGCTCATGCTCGCAGGCAGAGGTTGACGAGCTTTCCGTCATCTTCTCCAAAGGCAGACAACACAAGCTGAAATCTGGGATTCACCACCATGCGGGACATCCCAGGCCTGACAGCTGAACGAGGATCGCCGACTTCCGATCCCAAGGACTGAGTTTGTGCCTGGAGTTGAGCGAGGACGAGACGGTCATGTCAGGCGGATCTGATTTTACAAGCGGGCAGTCTGAACAGGCGACTCTGAGCATTAACGGGCTCTGGACGATCCTCTCCCAGCTTGGGGTGCAGCTGACACCCATCGAGAGGGAGGAGGTCAAGGCCTGCCGAGTTCGTGCCGGCGTGTGTGGCGGTATCTTGTCGGTTCTCTGAGGTAAAGCTTTTCATGGACTGCGGCAACCAGCTCGATCTGCCTGCGTTCCTCAAGGTCGTGTCCTGGCTGGCCGCTGCCAAGCAGAGCAGCGCAGATTTGTCTAAAACAGCGTGATGATCGACGGGCATCATCACGGTGCATAGCTAATTTACAGAAGCCGGAACCCGAGAAAGAGGTGAGTCCGGCTGGCTAAATTCGCAGGCAGATTGCCGAAGGCAAGGCCCAGAACCTACTCGAGTAACTTCCTGCTCTCGGCCGGCATCAGGGGGAAGTTCGTCTGCTTGAGGAGGCGGGATGCGATTTCCCAACATGCGGCCGGGAGTTTCACAGCGCTTCTGTCTAAACGACATAGCGCCATTGCGCAGAACGGAAGGGGATGCTACTTTGTACATATGAAGTGCATCGACCTCTGAGAGAGTTGTGCTCTTTTTTCTCTCTCGAATCATGGCTCATCTGCTCAGCATGGAAAAAAATGTCTCAGAAAAGACAAGCACCGAGTAGGTGCAATGTCTGGCTGGGACCTTGGACTTCGACATTCATGTGCTACAGCCACTCCCGCTGCCAAACCACGAAAGTGCTGGTGAGTTTCAACAGGATGCTGTCACCTGTGGCAATGTAAGCCTGAAGATCGGAGACATTCCAACATTGAGGACATCAGAAAAAGAAGATCTTCTCGCTACGCGCAAGTCCATGACAAAAGCCATGGACAGCTGCAAATCTGCAGCCGTAGTGTGGCACTCGACTTCGGGCGCTGAGCAGGATCAGATGCAGGTGCTTAGCTTCAAAAAAGTGGCACCGAGGCAGATGTTTGCTGGCTCACAATGCTTTCCGACGTTGATCCTATACGTGAAGACCTCTGTCGTCTTCCTGCGTGAGTTCAGCCCTCGTGGACCCTTTCCTTTGGTCAACCGAGATCGCCTGCTGCCCTCCTTCGGATGTCGTACCGCTGCAAGACTTGATCTTAACCTGCCCAGAGGCCCTTCACGACAGCTGTGAATGCTGCGGTTCCATCGCGGTAGCGAGACCTGTCTTGCGAGACGTGCCCTTGAAGGAATACTTGGAATCGCGCGGAGAGTTCGATGCTCGGGCATCTGCCTTGCATCGAACCAGCTTCTGTGTTGTTATCTGAGGGACTGCTGCGGTGCTCCCAAAGACCGCGCAGGCCCCCTTGGGCCACCGCGTTTTGTTGACAGATCTCCCATTCAGTGAGATGCGATGCATCCGGACAGACTTCATCCTCCGGGTCCTGACTGCTGTTGGTCCATCGAAGCTAACAGCTGAACCAGAGGAGTGACTTTCATGTGGGCGGACTAGGAAGGGTCAGCTCAAATAAGTTGGAGGAGCGCTCCTATGTCATCGCTGCCCTGGAAAGGCTTGGAGTTCAATGATTGCAGTATGGCGCTGTCACGTGACGCAGGTAGTACCTGATCGTTGTGGTATTCGGTTTCGGCTCCGACAGATCAAGGAAGGTCATGTGATGCCTGTCGCAACAATTCTGTCAAAAGTTTCTGGCAACTCCTTCGGTCGCCGCTTCCCCCCTGACGACTGTGCTTTGCTCTCCACCGTTGCAGAGAGGTAGACCGCTGGGATCGGACACTGTCCCGTTGGGAAACCTGGCTTGACTGAGTTAGACCAGCATTCTTCCAAGGCACAGCGAACTCAAGAGCGTATCTAGCAAGAGGGACTTGAAGGAGGGGAGGCTGGAAGAATGTAGAGAACGTCTTGCACCTGAAGCCTGCAAAGATACATAGACAGCTCCGCTCCCTGGTGCACGATTCATCCGATTCCACTGCGCTTGTGGAGCCCCTCGACGGGCTCTTCATGATAAGGTCCAGCTGTTTTCAGGCCTGCAGTGTGAAAACTCACCGATCATTTCAAGTCCTGTCCCAATGGCAAAAACCTGACACTGCCTGAATCTCAGCACAAATGCGTATCAAAGAGCAAGAGCGCCAAACTGCACCACGGTAGCTGAAGTAGCGGTTTCTCGCGGAAGGGTCTCTTTTTGCTAGATGTCTGCGTGTTTTCGAGGAGGCCTTAGCCGGGACAAGAGTTGGGGCCACTGGGCCTGGGGCCGCTCTCTGGGGCAAGCGCTCTGCCAGGGTGCTCGTGGACTTTGAGCACAAGAGCTTGGAGGGCTGGCGAAGGCTAGCAGACTGAGGCTTAGGTCATTCATTTTCATGTGCATATCTCGACTGTAAAAACAGCAAAAGCTGCGGCTCGCAGCTCAGGTCACCACGGCTACCTCTGCCTGCTTGCAGGCCCGTGGCTGCGTTCCTGGCTGGCACTCGCGCAGTAGATTAGTCAGTGAGGAAGGTTCATGCATCTTCATCTTCCGATCTGTCCAAGAAAGTACTGTCTATGAGGTGAGAAGTACAGAGCAAAGTTCTTAGATGCCATTAGGCTGCTTTTGGCGCCGGGTCTTGTGCCGTGAGCTTGGCAGCTGGCGGGCCCAAAACGGGCTCGGCCCGACACAGAAATGAGTCCTTTTTTAGAGGCTTCGCATGGCCCGAAGGGCAAAGGCAAGGATACGGTCGTAAGTTCAGTGCAGCATCGTGGAAAGAGGACAGGACTTCTCGCTTGCATTGTCGAGGATCTGCGAATGCTAGCATCCACAGCAAGAACTGCTGACGCAGAGCGGCCAGGTTTGCCAAGTTGACCAAGGAACAGCCACTGATGTGCTGCAAATAATCAGCCGACCCAGCGAGATCTTGTCACGTGGACAGCGCAAACAAAAACACAAGCTATGTGGCATGTGAAGTTGCACTGCAGACTGCAGAGCTGATTGATCAGGGACTCCGTGAATGCCTGCAAGGGCTTGGCTCATCGGCGCAGTGTCGTGTCGGAGTGTGCAGCGTCCGGCATGATGGCGACGAATGCCGGCTCCATAAATAACGACAATGCCGACCTACCGGATTCCTTGGAGGAGATCCGGCATCGTGCTGGAAGCAGCAAGAGTCAGCAAGAGGGCATCTACGCCTTGACTGCATCGGTTCCGTTTCTGTCCCGAGTGGCGCCCCAACTAGAGGAATGATAAGCTCCTCGACTCAAAGCTTCAGTAAGCTTGAGCCCCTACTGTGAAGCTTGCGCGTGATGTCCATCTTGGACACTGGGACCGGAACCAGTCATGCAGGCCGCCCAGAGCTGCTCTTGGAATGTGGACCGCGGCACCCATCAAGTCCTGATCGCGCTCGTTCTCCTCTGGGTTCTGCTTCAAAATCTGCGCAGCACAGCGATTCCCGTTCGCAAACTCAACCGTTTTGTCTACAAGTCGAGGCAACGCTCCTGGAAGGATGTAAACGTGCTTAACAACGTTCGTCACACTCTAGTCGAGCCATTGCACGTAAGATCACCACCCTACGCACCATGCAGAAGAAAACATCGCTGTTAGATTCTCAGATGGATGTGCCAACACGGACTGCCCCGAGCAGTTCATCCTGCTCCGATGAATCTAACAGTGGACCATGTCAAGCTTGGCCTCCCATCGACGGGGACTGTGGACACTGTCTGTTTCACAGCGCAGATCACAAAGACGGCGATCTGTGTGGACAGGCCTCACCTGACATGCGTCGTGTCGGCTAAGACAGGACGCAATCGGCCAAGTTGGCGGATGCTTTTGCAGGCTGATGCTCTCAAGGATGAGATGAAGCAAGCAGCTGATGAGAATCGCTTGGTAGTCGTGGCCCCAGAGAAACTGCACAGAGGCACCAAACTTGGTGACGTCGCGAGGCGGACGTTGCAGGAGAGCTGTTGCTGGCCACCGAGCGCCTGCGAGAGCCGCCTGCGAGAGCCTGCGAGAGCCTGAAAGCCAAAGCCGGTGAGGCCGCGCGCCCTGGCGCGGGGGCCTCGGATTCCTCCACATCCGCTTTATGGGTGTTTTCTTGTCGTGGCATGGGTCATGAATTGGGAGAGACGAAGGACAAGTCGAGTTCTTGCCAAGGCAGCACTGCGATTGGAGGTAAGACCAGTCCAAAGTCCAGAGCGGTAGGGCCCACGTGAAGCGGATGGAGGCTTTCTCGAGCTATCTTCTTGCCCAAGCAGCTGTCACCGTCTTGGTTTTCATGGATGGCAGCAGGGCTTAGACCGTGGCAGATCTCGGAGGTCGACTCCGGAATTACGTTTCCCGAAGTTGATCAGCAGGAGGCATTTCCGCCGAGTGATGCAGACTATATAGTGTTAAGCTGGTGGTCCTGCCCAGACAGGTGAGACATCAGTTTGATGACCTCTTGATGGACTACTACAAAATGGTAGTGCAGAGCTATGGATTCTCGAGGTTCGCAACTTGGGTTGCGTTTGCATGACAGCTCAGGTGAGGGAGCATGACGAACTCGCCTTCAACATCATTCCGTCCTTCCAGGTCGCATTAAACATGTTGCCTCGCAGATGCATGAAGACCACCCTCTGAGAGGCTTCTTCTGTGAAACGTGTTGTTCCTGTCAATTCGCACGGAGCTGGATTGCTGTTTTCGTGGTTTACTTCTGGCACTTATGGGCTTAGTGCACGGCATAAGGATGTCTCCTGTCTACCTGTTGGTGCTGAACCTGGGCCGGATTCCCACCAACAGCCCACAGAAGGCATCTTCTCTCGCAGCTTTGAGCAGCAGTCGGGTGGGGGGGGAGGGGGCAGTTAAGTCGTTAAGTCCAGGCACAAGGCCTGCAGTCACTACAGAATCGTGGGTGTCTGGTACAGATGGACACTTCGCTTCGGTGGCCTCGGCCCTCAAGGTCAAACTGCGAAGGTGGGTTTCACTACGCTCTGGAGCATCCTCAGGCGAGGCGGCTGTTGCCACAACATGACCATTTGCATTCTTTCGTGAGCCAGGTTGAGGTCTGTGCCGTTGCGCATCTTCGTTCTGGGTGTGTGCCTCAAGACTGGCTATGCATGGCTATGCCCTGTGGGAAGTCATGAAGTCCTTTTTGAGGCGATGCAGCAGGTCTTGAGGCGCCTCCATGACAGTTTCTGCACCGTTTTTAACTACAGGCATCGCCTAATGCACCGGCATGAGCCGGGGAGAAAGGAGTAGACGGGACGTTTCGATCACTCGCGCTGCCAGAACTGGCGTGCCACTCTGCATGATCTTGCCTCAGCCTTACTAGTGGGCCAGCACTGGTGCATGTTATTGCCGATTGTGTTTTCGTTGTTTGGGACGACAGCTTTCAGTTGGGTACGCCGATGGCACGATCAAGATCAGCGCTGAGGAGACATCTGGCAAGATGCGAAGCCTCAACCTCATTGAATTCGAGTACGTGGAGCGGTGCATTGCTTTTCATTTCGTGCACTGGCTCGGCGACTCCGTGCCTTATTCCAGCGTATCTTTTGCTCTCCAGCTGTCGTTGCGGCCGATGTTCCCTGCTGCGTTGCCACCAGGACTTCACGACGAACATGAATTTCCAGCTTTTCATGAGCTGCGAGCTTACACGGGCAGTCGCTGACCGGGTCCAGGGTTCTGTTCAGACTGTGTTCCTGACGTGCAGCGATTGCACTTCTACCAACTTGGTGAAGTTTAATGCCTCGAGGTAGCGCTCAGAACGGTTGCATGTGTTGGTGTGCCATGTCTGCTTTGTTGTTGGTCCCGGCGAAAGTAGCGACTCGCTGTGAGTGTGAAAGCCTGATTTCTCAGGTCAGTATCCATCCGACTGCGACGTGAACAAGATCGGCGGGGGGCCCGGCCGGCGAACTTGTGCGGGGGATTTGGAGTTTCGGGCGCTACCAGGTGAGGCCTTGTTGGCTCGCTTCATCTGCCGAAGCCTTGGAAACCGTTCGAAAGCCTCGGATAGATCCAAAAGGGACAGACGTTTTTTGTTTTTTTGGGACTCGGAGTGCAGGCCATGAGCTTCTGCCGTCTCACGTTCACGCCCGAGTCGCCCGAGCCACCACTGGCTCGTCGGGTGCGAATTTTCCCAGGGTTTCTCGGTAGGTGGACCGCGTCATAGCCATGGATCTGGGTGATGTGGCTGTCCCAGCATACCCGAAGGGAACACACAGGGACTCTGGGATTGGAGAAGGATCTTTGCAACCTACAAGGTCCTCGTGTTGGATGACATCGCAGACCTTTGGGCGCAGTTCGACACGTTTGAGAAGCAGCGGACCAAGAAAGTAGACTTTCCTGCGCCGCTTCATCTGGGGTCATGCTTTGGATACAGAACGAGCTTGTTTGTGGCCTTGCAGGCACCATGTCTTTGCAGCTGCGCATATTTCTGTGCAGACCCGAGACACGCTGAGAGTGGTTTGCGGCGCTTGCGGTAGGGAATCCTGTTTTGTGGAGAGAACGCTTGTGAACGGTGAGGCCCTGAGCCATGTCAACGGAGGTCTGGCCTTGTACGACTTGTCCAGGAACGCTTCCCTTGCTGATCTCGACGTGCTCTGCTTTTCCCATGGGAACCTACATCGCACAAACTCAAGTGTCTCATCTCTATCGTGGGCTCGGGTGTGCGAGTGGAGAGGTCTCTAAATTGGGGTCCCTTTTTGAGTCCTTTTTTGTAATAAGGGTGCCGTACTATTTTGGGGACCTAGAAGGGACCGTAATTTAGAGAATTACCCAAGTGTAGGTCTATTGCGCGGAACGTTGACTGGTAGCCATTCGCACATGCACATACCCAGAGTCATGTGAGGTGGACTAATGCTCGTCCACGGCACAGCGCATGGTTTCTCAAATTTGCACGCTTTAGTACCAGTTGTTTCGTCGTCGTGATCGAATCTTCTCGATAGTTTCGAACTTAGTGAGAGCAGGATGGTGTAGCTTTCATCATTCGCTAAACTGCAGAAGTGCCTAGAGGGCATCTGAAAGCAAAGACGTTCCGATTTTCCCTTCCCCTCTCCTTCCTGCCCTGCTCCACCCGCTTGAAGCTGGAGAGTTACAGGTCCAAGAACCGGCAACAACAAATCCTTTGCAGCGAGTGCAATCTAGAAAGGGTGGCTCAAGCGATTTTGGATGGGAACGGAAGGCCATGCGATGGGCTTCTTCGCGTGCCATGTCTGACGATCTATTGTACGATTGACATTTTCCTGTCGCTGAATTTGTTCGCTGCGGGCTGGTGATGTCCATCACGATGCCCTTGAGATTGGCTTGTTGTGTGGTCCTTCCTCTGGTCTCTGCCACGTTTCGGACGCAAGATTGGACATACAATGCTTCTCTGTTCTGGACTGCGGCGGCCCGGCACGACCCGCGAAATGGCGAATCGGTTGTAAACATCGCCAAGCTGTTTACTGACCTTGTCTTTGGTGTCCGGGATGCAGTGATGTTTGCGTGCATTCCTGAGGGGCAGGGGGGTAGCTGCAAAGAAGCTGGATGGTGTTATTTGCCACAGCTGGTCGCGCATTTGCTTTATCACACAGCTCAGTGTTCGGAAGGCTTGAGAGCGCTGGCTCCAAGCATGGAGTCGGCTTTAACAGACGTCAACCTTCGGCTCGCCGACAATGTCGAGAATTTGTTGGGGACTGTTCCCTCCTGTGCCGCGGTGGCGGAGCTCACAGAGTCCGAGGAGCTTTGTTCCCCATCTTTGCTTACGATGCTCGACTGCGTCAAGGGCACTTCGGACCTTTCAAGGCTGGCGATGTCACGGATCCATGCCGCGCAGGTTGCTTCCTCAGAGGAGCTGAGGACAGCACAGCCTCCAATGATATTCGAAGGAACACGCGGCTCGGGTGTTGCAGATGTCTTGGCATCCCTGCTCAGCGAGATTTCGAGGCAATGGTCACTAGGTACCGTCAAAGCAGCTGAAATCGGTGTGCACACTGGGCAGACATCGAGTTTTCTTCTTGAGAGGCTCCCCTTCCTTGAAATGGTTTTGGTAGACCCATTCGAATTTGCGGACAAGAGCTATTTCGAACAGCACACCTTGTATGAAGAGCGATCAGATGCTGCACAAGCTTTCGACGTTTTTTGGGAACGTGTCCGACCGTACCGAAATCGAAGCGTCATCATCACGCAGCGAAGTCCGGGTGCCGCAAGCTGGGTGCCAGATTCTTTTCTTCACTTGGTTTTCATTGACAGCTTCCACGCGTACGATGAAGTGAAAGCAGACATAGAGGCCTGGCTGCCGAAACTTCAGCGCCCAGGGATCCTGGCCGGCCATGACTACGGACTGTTTTGGCCTGGAGTCTGTGAGGCTGTTCATGAATTTGCCGTCTCCAAGAACCTAACTTTAATATTGGGGCCTGAAGGTTTGTGGTGGTTCCAGGTGTAGCTCGTCGTTGCTGCCCCTGCCGTGAATTGAGCAAAAGGGAGCCAGCCACTCTGTGGCTCTCGCATCGCTCTGTACTGCTGCCGCTTTGGTGAAAGGATGCGCGCTCGTAACTGGACATCGCTCGCACTGAGGGCAGCAAGAGAAGGACTTGGAAGGACTACATTTGGCATACCGAGTATCCCTTCAAGTAGCTGCCCACTGGGTTCAGCCAGGAGCGGTGACTGCATCCATGACCAATCATTGATGAACACGTCGCAGTCTTATCGGGGCTTGCTACGGGCCGTCCGCACGAATTTCAGATTTCTCAGGTTGCACCTTCACAGTCCGGGTGAGCTCGGGTCTCGGAACAGGGCAACGTGCTTGCCGCTGTCGCACTGTCAGCGATCGCAAAGACGCAAAGGCCAAGCCCCATGCAAACACTGCCTTGTCGCTGGATGCTGGTCTGTGCCTCGTGAATAGCTAGACAGTGAGCCGAAGATGCCCTGTTCTTCACACGACTGCGAGCTCAAACATCTCATGTGTTTCAACGTCTGTGCTCTGCTACTGACCGCCCATCAGCAGTCACAGCACACAAAATGCAATGGTCCGTCATACACTTACACACCGCAACGTGGATCCGCAAGAGCGGTGCTGCACCGGTGCCCCATGCCGATGGCATGCGTGGCATAAAGCGGTATCAAGGCAAGTGCCAAGTGCAGAGATGATGCACAGAGATGTGTGACAGAGAGAATGCCACGTCTTGACCGCTGCTCCCGCTGGGCAGTCCCTGGATGCAAGATGTGGCACCCAGCACGCTGAGTCGGTCCGGGAGCCAAGACATGCTCTCTGGGCCGCTTGTTACATGGCTTTGCTCTTCCAGCTTCACCTGCGTCGTGGGTTCAGCGGGGAGATGTGAGGATATGTTGTGCAGGTTGCAAGATGGAGATGGACCGAGCCCGGAGGCAAGATGTGACAAGTTGGACAGTAGGCTCGTCAGGTCCCTACAGGCCTTCGGGGGTCAGGGTAATTTTGATGATCAAAAAGATCCACTCTGCCGAAGAGACTCCGTGGAATCCACGCATCGTTGAAGTACGCATGCAGCCGATGTCCACAGCCAAAGCATTTGGAGAACAATACGAGATCGTTGCTGAAGCATGTCCAGCCATGGTGACCAAAAACAGGCGATGCACCGATCACGTTCAGTACATTTCAGTAGTCTTCCCTCCCTACTGGCTCATAATCAAGCACTGTTAAAAGTGAGAGCCGATACATCTTCGCACTTCGTCGTCCATGACTCCATTGCATTGCAGAGTTGAAGCCCAAGCTGTCAGTGCCGATGTCGACCACCCGGCAGTCCCTCATTTTGCGGAGACTCCTTTCGATTTTGTGATTGGCTAGTTATGCCCTTTCTTTGCAGGTCGTTCGTCAGCTAGATCTTGACCTTCCACGCACGGCTGGTGGCGACTCCGCGCTCCAGTCCTGCATTGGAAGGCCAGCTGTATCTGTGCCTTAGTCACGAAAGCTCCTCGTGAGGGAGCTTCGTTCATTACCTCACGGAGTG